TCTAATCGTGTCTCCACGGACAATGGACATGCATTGATAGACAATAAATCATGGGGCAGTTCTCAACTAATCTCTTGTTTAAATCTCTTGTTCCAAGATCCTGAAGCATTGTTTTGCAAGTGATTAAAGTCTTCGTGCGTTTGTTAGCAATATACTGTGAGTGGACTTGGTCTTTCCTCGCTGATGAAAGCCATAAATACGGCGATAAATAGATATATATGATAATAAATAAATAACACATATATAAATAGAACATATATTATATTATAATAATTTCTAGAATTCTATTCTTGTGTCATTAATTTATTCTATATCACGTTAATGTAATTTAAATCTGGATCACAAGGTTTCTATCGTGAATAATGTATACCTCTTTGCAAGTTTCTAAAGACATAGGACGAGAGATTTCATTTTCTCACAGAACAATTTGCGCAATTTGTGACAGATTAGATATGCTAGCAGAAGAACATCAAATCTTCCGACACATGTGTTACAAAAAAATGTCTGTATATAAGTGCACATAAATTATCTAATCATCGACATGTTTCATTTCCGCAATTTGCTTGTCTCTATGATAGTAACGCAAAATAATCGAAAGATTTTTATCTCGTATTTCACAATTTAAAACTGTGTATCTACATAATCGTGGGAATCAGTTGCAGTTATATCTAGATTAATCACATACAGAAGTAATAACTCTAATTAAATAGTAGATAGATATTTCGAAAATCAAAACTTCAACATTCATATAACAATTAACTTTTAATGTAATAATGTTCACTTGCAGATATTATTATCATCTAACTTCCCGGAAAGCTTTAATCATCATTGACATCTTACGTTTGAAATTGAGCAATTCCGTGCAACAAGTTGGAAGTACAGGAAATTCTTGTTTTCTCGGGATGAATCAAACATTTTTCAGATTGGCCTCGATTAAAGCCTTGATCGCGTGTAAAGTCACTTGGATGATTCGTTCTCGTAAAACAAGTTCCGTTTGATATCTCCTGTAAATGAACTAATTCAGTCCCTTCCGATGGAAGAAAGAAGGGGAGGAAGAAAACAGGAAAATCTAAATAAATTTTTTTTATCTACAAACAGTTATATCAAATTTTAAAATGTTCTATTGAGCCAAATATATTTAAATAATATAATATTTTTATATTTTGCGACTTTACTGTGTTCTATTTTATTGTATTATCAATTGTTTATTCATTCTTTATTTTTTTATTGTTTTTTTGATAGTATTATCTAAAATATTTTTGCAAAATTGATCAGGAATTATATTTCATTATTATGTTTGATAAATATTAATTTATCACAATTTTGTTGTTTCTAACATCTCTAAAATTGTATCTTTTAATATTGCTGATACTTTTATCTTTCTTTATAGAATGATTTTCTTCTTTCTAATATTGCTACCACTTTTATCTTTCTTTACAAAATGATTGATCTTCTTTCATAAATTCATGGAAAGTCTGACAGTTTGTAATAATTTGTAGCTATTTATATTATCTTTCTTTTTAATATTAAGAAAATATTTTTAATATTTTTAATATTTTCTTAATATTTTTAAATATTTTTAATATTTTCTTAATATTAAAAAGAAAGATAATATATATTTTTACTTATTACGTCATTTGAGAGCGAGTAATTACTCAATATTTATTTCAGAGTAACAACATGTAATCATGACATAACTAATATAATAAACGATCGATATCGAGCATCGATATTTCTAGACTGTTAAAGCGGTTCTGAAATATGTTTTCCGCATTTTTCGCGAAAATGTATTAATTGCTGCCGTTTAATTTCAGGATACCACGTTACGATCAAGTTTTCATCATAGTACAATTACACAGTACCGGCGAAAGTATTTGCTTGGCATTCTGAAAATATCGCACCTGTGTGCATTTCTAAAGTTAATATTTCCGTTGGACAGAACGTGAGTTTTCTAACGCATTTTCTTTCGTACGCGACCTATGATTTATATTTCAGCAAAACGACCAAAAGACATTAAATGCTCCTGTTACCTAGTAATGATATATACGTGATAAGAGAAAGCAGAGCGCCGTGAGACCACTTTTGACTGCTTATTAGAAATGCACCTAGATATAAGATATACATTATTAGAATAAATATGCGACTGCTTCTTTATATTTCACACACACACACACACACACACACACACACACACACACACACACACACACACATCTATTGTTAAGAAATTATTACAGATAATATATTTCTTAATTTTTAATTTCTTAAATACTAAATAGAAAAACTTTCTCTTTTCTATATAAGTTTAATATGCTAAAATTATATTTAATTTCATGACATTGTTATATTCACTTTTCTTTTATGTTGTATCCAAAAACTCAAATCTGTCGTCGACAGATATCAGACTTTCCAAGAGTGTTTCGACACTCATACCGTAGAGTTGGTGGTGCGTGACTGTCTCGTGTGACCTCAACGAACCGAGACTGGTCTCATCGATTCTCATTCCCCGACATTCTTCCAATCTTACAATTTGTGTGATTTCATTTTCAACAATTTTGTCGCTGTAACATCATGAATAATTATGCAAAACTTATCGATATCGCTCGCCAATAAATTCCGATTTTTAATAACTAATTTTTATCATAATAGTCAAAAGTAAGTCAGATGAAAATTGATAATATTATAATTATCTTGCATCACGGAACTCTTTAACGGTTACCGTGTTTGAAGAACGGGATTATAAAAAATTCCTAATACTTAATTAATTTTCTTAATGTGTTAACAATCTCGTGTAATATCTCTAGAAAATTTAGCACACATACGCGAAACAATTCATTCTCGCTGATGAAATTAAGATTCGCTTATATTTGTACGGTACTATTTTGACCGTATTTGTACGATGCACACGCCCGTACGAAATAAGCAGACGGTACCGCACATCTGCCACACGATATAACGTGGGAAGCGTCCTTCGCGTATAACGGCCTTCCTGAGTCGCGTGAGAGAACCGAATTAAGTCTTCGTAGCATATAGCAGCGTCTTTCTGGAAGCGCGAAGTTATGTTCTCTTTATTTTCCGCGTTCTCAAACAATTCCCGATTCTGTTATTCTTTATGTCATCCGGGTTGTTTGTTAATTTTAAATGACAATCGAACGACTCGAAAGGAATGAATTTTCAAGATATCGGATTTTATAAATTCGTCTACAATATTTAATCATTAAATTAAATTATAACTTTTTATAAAATTTATCCAAAATATAATAATATCTAAAATAGTATTCCAAAAGTATTATTTTTCTATGGTACAGAAATCGATGATAACACTCGTTTTATTTTTCTTGTTCTTTATATATTTTGCTCCGAATTGCTCTTGATTTCAAGACCGCGGCGATCGAAAGCCAGCAAGCCGGTCGTGGTTCTAGTTCGTACAGAAACTCTGAGAAAGGAAAGCGGCCTTCTCTCTTTGTCAAGAGAGTCTATTGTCCTTCTGGGGATGGATGGGAACAGCGTGATCGCGGATACTGGATGTACCTCAGAATTATTTCTTCAGGTACTTGCAGCGAGAGATTTATCAATAAAAATTTATAAAGGATCAGGATACATAAACTTTGCTTTTTACACATTGCTACATCTGTTTCCTCATAAAACTAAACTATTTTGCGCATTATTCGCAATATGAATAACATGTCGCACATTTCACCGCTCACATTCAAATATGTTCACACCTTTTTACATTTAAAGCCACTTGATTGACTTGGTCAAAAGATCAAGCGCATATCCTTCCGCTTGCATAAATCCTTGATAAGCGGAGAAATATTTCATGTGACTGAGAAAATTATGTAATAACGCATACATAAATTACGAATTAAATAATTTAACTTTAATCAATAATTTGTTGAATTGGAATTAATCACTTTAATAATTGATTTCTATTATCTTTGAGCTATTTCCCATTTCAATTTTCTTCCTTCTTCTTCCTTCAATTCATTCTACAAGAAAACTATTCTAAATATGGCTTGTCATACTAAGCGTTTTTCTAACCGGAGGGAAACGCGGATTTCGCCACATTATCAATCATTATATCCATTAAATTCAATTTTACCATTTCTTTCCTCTCATACATCTTCACAAGTATATGATGAATTTTGTTTTTTATTGTCGCAATCAAAAGAAACTCAGTATTGTCTCCCAATTATCGAATCTTTGAAGTAACTTTCGAAGTTAATTACCTTACGTTAATGTCGATTGCATTCATTAAATTAAAAAATCTAGACCGGAAGCCCGTAAGAGATCGCTAAGAGGAATGCGTTTCACGAACGTAAACCGGTTTTCGGGCCAAATTCTTGTCAAGGTGGTAACCAAGATACGGTTAGATTATACATATATCGACATACATGTGTCAAACAACACCAATATAGATATTCATGAGTGCAGAAAGTAAACGTGTGCACATGCACATTATACATTATACGTACATACATTATATGTATATGTATATACTATTGATACGCAGACACTTCCGTTGCTCGGGACAACCTGCAAGGTACAGGAATTCGATTCGACAGCACAAAAAGTAGTGACGGTGGAATGTAACGTCGTTGCAAGTGAGGAAATGGATTATCAGATGCGGAAGACCTACCAATAAAAATCGCGCACTTTTCGTATAGCTGATAAACATTTATTTCATAATTTGTTTTAAGATTGCAGTCTTTCACAGGCTTTTATTTTTCATTACATTCTGTTTTTTGTCCAAACAATTTCATAATATTGTTTTGCATAATTTGTATGCTCGCGATTTATTACAATAATTACGAGATTCAATGGCAAATAATGGAATTAATTAAAAAATTATAATTCAATAGTAAATTAAGAAATATTTGCATTTTGATATCTTTTTCTTTCCTTTCTATCGCAATTTTTCATTAAACATTCATAATTGTTTTTAGGTTTTTAGCTATATTAAAATACTCTTGATATTCTCATTAATTTACCATTGAAAATATTTATGTATGTATACTTTTATCTTTCGTAATTGCAAGATATCGAGAAATGACACTAATCAGTTCAATTTCAAGTAACATTGATCTTTCACATAATTATGCAAATTAAGTAATCCTTGCATCATGATACCAACTTTATATCCTTCTATGATAGAGATCTTCTTGCTTAGTCAGCATCAAAAAAAACAAGTAGTAACGTTGTATAGACACCGTGACTTGTCTGACGCGTAAACGCACAAATGGAATTCAACAAATATATGCACGTGCATACGACATACATTATATATGTATGTACATAAAAAATATCTACATATATTCAGAGATAAATGTCATACATAAAAGCAAATATTTCTATATATGATATATTACATATACGTGTATGTGTTTGCAATTGGAAATATACGATTTGTTTCACTTGTGTGTCTACAATGACGATCCCATATACGTTCGGAGTATGAATGAAGATGTATTTCCTCCCTAAATCATTATATCTGCGCGCGATACAACGCGTGTCCGTCTCATTTATTGTCACATCGACGTGACACGTATATCAGATCTTGTGTCATACATACAAGGCTTCGCGCGACAAGAATGCGCTGCCGTGATGTGCGTGTTGGTCACTGAACTTCCGTTCGAGACGCAATACGTCTTGCAGTGCATTTGCATACACGCAATATGTGTCTCCGTCTCCAAAAATTAGGATATCTAGCGGACATCATTTATAATTCACGATATCTGTCTACAATTCTCAAAATTTTCAATAATAAAATTAAAATAATGAATATCACATTATTAAAATAATATGATGAATATCACAATATTTTATCGATCGATCGATATTAAAATTCTATTATTAAAATCAAGAGCATTAGTATATTTTATATAATTCGCAGATATACTTATTTGTCCGTAGACACAACACAAAGGAAGGGAGCATATGGATAGCGATAGATGCCTCTACGAGATTCGCGAATTAATCAGGAATCGAATTCTGAATACGCGGAATTGCGTCATCGATATCGATCGATCGATCAACCGGTATTGGCCAACGTAGTCGGCTAGTCGCCCAGGCAGGCAGGTGCCTGGCGAAACGTGGGTTCCGACTGTCTCGTGGGTGGTATGAGAGGGCTTGAGGCCCGTGTTTTTTACTCACCTTTCGGAAATATAAGGTTTTCGTTGAGCGAGGTCACGACACCCACGCTTATCGCGCCGCACGGCGAACAGCTGCGATCTGCGATGGATGAAAAGTTGATTCCTTTTCTGCGTAGGACGACAGTGAGACGCGATTACAAGTAACACCGGCGACGTCGTCGGATCGGGTCAGATGTAGACGAGATTTTTTAATCACCACTGCGATTGTTAATTCTCGCCGCTAGTTTGGCACGATTGGATGACAGTCTGCAACGACATATGTACTATTATGATTTATGCACAGATAAAAGAATGTAATAAATACAATGAACTATACGCATTAATTTATGTACAAGTTACATGGATCTATTAGCTATCTATTTATCAAAAGAGAAAGAGAATATTCGATTCTCGATGTTCTCTGCAACTAGTTTGAGAAATCGACGAGCTGTAGTAGATCATATTCGATTAATATAAATGAATTGCGAGCGATACAAGTAATCCATTCATCTGAAAATGTTACAGTTTAATGTAAAGAAAAGAAGAAGATAAAGAATAAAATATACACATACATTAGACGCAATTAATTTCATCGCCGACCCATTTCTCAGAATTCATCATGAGATGAGCCGCGCTATTGCATACAAACCCCTGATTATCCTGAATCTCGAATCCCATTGCATTGGAAATCGCGATCTTTATAGGTCATGCGCGAAAGCTAATTAAATTTAATGAAAGCAGATTTATGAGAGGGATGAGATAAAATTAATCTTCCCGAGATTAAAATATAAGATACATTTGTGATATAAATCATTTGCAAAATATGTAGCAGAACTCACAGCGTTGCTTGTGTATCATATTAATTAATTGAAAATGATATTCATTAAAGCATTTTTTTTTAATTTACTCGGTGAAACATTTTTTTAAACTGTCTTTTCTTGCCAAGGCAATCTTGTATTAAACTGACAATGAGTGTGAAATACAATACATAGAACGTCATGGAATTACATCGCATTATTATTCCGTGCACAGTAGTTGGAACTGCACGAAGACACGCGAGGTACCAGATACCGTCTCTTCGCCGGCTCATTTCGACCTTAGGCAAGGTTTAAGAAACCTGTTTCAAACTATCATCATTTGCATTTCGTCTATCTGATATCGTTGCGTCGAAAAAAATAGCCTAATCTCTTACCTGCGCCCGACACTTTCGGAGTAAAAACAACTTGATCTACTTGTTAGAAAAAACTATCATATAATTCATCACTATCATATAATGCATACACGTTCAAATAATAAAAATTATAATAAAGCATCACTCGAGATAATAAAAATACCGATAAAATGCCTATATTTTTCCTGTTTTAAAATATTATCAACTGTTAAAAAAAAATACTTTTTCATATAATATAAAATATTTTACACATAAGATATGCAGTCATATACGAAACGTACATACGCATATACATATATTACTGCTAAAATTTAAGAATAAAATATCCAAAAAATGCTACAGACATCGATGAAAGAAATATAATAATTATATTCACCTCGATTAATTTAAAAATATCCGAGGACAGATTCTTTCTTCGCCGAATCCGGACGCAAAATGTCTAGTCGGTATCCGCGATATTCTGTACAATCGACCAAGCGACAACGGACCAAGCTACTGTAGCTTTCGTCCACTGATGACACCACTAGTCACTGGCAACTGTCACATGTTACGTACTACTCCATTCACTGATTATCATATGGGTAGTCTCCATTGATTACTACAGACATCTGCCATTGACAGATAGTGACGTTTTGCTGAATGAACTCGCTTCTAGCGCCGCGAAGACAGACTTACCGCCAGAATAATAATACTGTAGATCCCTATTTTGACAGAAGACGATGCACCGTTCGCTGACCCGTTCGTGCGTGCTGCGTGCGTGTGCGTCGTCGCATAAATTTTCGCAGGTGGTGATTTTTCGGTGCTGCAACGAGAGGAGCTTCGAACCCCGAGGTCTGCGCCGGTCGGCACCCGAGAAGTAGAGTCCGAGGCGCCTTGGTCGAGGGGCGTAGTCCCCGAAATCGCAGGAGGAAAAAAGGGTATACCGCGATACGTATCTCGCGTTGAGTCAGTGCTATCCCGTGAGAAGATTACGAGACGCGCACGTTTAAAGGGAGGAACGGAGAAGGAAGACAAGGAGGAAGAAGGAGCGAGTTCGAGGACACCAGTTTGACGTATACGATGTCAGGTCGCTCCGAGTCAAACTCGACGGTATCTTGAGTCTGGAAATTGGAGGGCACGCGAGGAATTGGACGACATTCTGATCAGTGTGATCGACGTGCCAACAAGAATCGCTGCCAATGTGCAATTCGGCGGACACTTCGTACGTGCAAAAGTTAGGTTACCTGCATCTCGAGGATGATTCCGCTGACACCGGTGGGGCGACGAGTGCGACCAGGGTCTCGGGTTCCAGGCCCGAGGCCCAGGTACCTGTATCCAGGAACGCGATCAATAGAAACGACGCCAGAGCGTCTGGTAGACCGGTCGGTGCTATCGAGAGCTTCATCGAAGGCAATTCCTCGGACATTTCTAGACAGGCAGCCACCACCGATTATAAATACGAGCGTGAAAATATAATAGCTGCTTCACGATTTGCTACTCCCAAGCCAGTGGAACAAATTAACGCGCTACAACAGCAGCAGCAACAGAATCAAACTCGTGGAAGTCATCAACAAGCTCCTGTTTATGAAAATATTGATTATTATCCGCAGCAAAGTCAGCCGCATCCTCCTTATTATCATCCAATAGAGTCGCGGAAAAGTCCAAAAAGTAGCCCTAGAGCTTCCTTGGTTGGTGATACCTATGAAGGAAATTATAGAAAAGCTCAACCACAAGTGCCAACTGGCAATCGTTATCAAAGTACATCGCCAGCGAAAGAATTACCGCCATATGAAGCACCACCAGTATATGAAAATATACAGGAAGTACATTTCTCTGAGAATTTACAAAATAAACCAGGACCCCAGGTTCCGCCAAATTATTATCATCCAGCAAATATAAATGGCGGTGATTATGTTGTTATGACTGGAAAGGTAGGTCAATCTCAGAATCAACGCGGGATGACTCAAAATTTATCATATAATCAACAAAGGAGTGGAAGTATACGCGGTCAAAGTTATGATGCTTCAAGTTTACAGCGGTCAATAGATTCATCTACTTCTAGGTACTTACAGAGCTCATCCTCTGCATCCTCAGACCATCAAACTGGAAGAAGCGCTTATGTACCTCCATCTGAACTGCAACAACCAAATAGAAACTTTAGTTACAGCTCTGATCAACAGCAACAACAATCTCCTAGATCTGGTTTACCATACCACAGTGAATCTCCTCCGATACGTTTACCACCAGAACCACATCATTATCGTGGTTTATTGGAAAGTACTATAAGTGGACAACAAGGATTTCGTGCCACAAATCAAATTGATAGTGGCCAATCTTCTCAATTTCGACAGGACAATCCACAGAATTATAAGCAATATGTTGATCCTTCTTCGAGAACTGCAAATGCAAATTTCACGGGGGACTCGCAGGCCAGAAATTCTCCAGTGTATGGAATTCGCCCAGGGGAACAGACAGCGTGTCATAATTCTCCATGTTACTCTCCAAATCGTACAATGCCTCAAAATGAAAGGAACTATCATCATCAAGAAAATCGACCAGATTTTCCTGCTAGAAATTCCCCTGTTTACTCTTCAAATCGCTCCACGGAACACTTGAGATTAGGTACGCTGCAACAAAATGATAGGAATTATGTCTCAGATGTATCGGACCTGCCAGCTACAAAGAATTCACCTTTATATTCTCCGAATCGTGATCCTACTAGGGCCATTATTGCTAATAACAATGTCATAAGAGAATCTCCAAAAACAAGTCCAACACATGGTCAAATGTCATCAGATATTACTTCACAGAATATCAATTCACCTAGACATGGATTGCATCCTTCATTCAACAGTTCCATTGGAAGTCCTATGCGTGGACAAGTGCAAGCTCCTGTCACTAGTGCTTTGACTACAGCCGGTGAAACTGACATCAACACTGGTCCTAGGATCACTAGTCTCCCCCCTGGCGTTACCAGCGGAGTTGCAGGGCCCGTACTTTTGAATGCCGGTGTACCTGTACTACAAAGACCTTCCAATTCGGAGGCAGAAGAGAGAAAATCCGTTAGTCCGCCGATCAAACCTGCATCTGGGAAGGGATTGCTTCCCTACAATGTTATTTCTAGACCTTCGGTAAGTCTGTCGATATTGTATGTAAAATTTCTATTGAAAAATTTTATGTTTTTATTAAAAATTTTACATCTCCTAGAAACCTTATCTCGAAAATCCAGTACATGCTTTTCTCATCTCCTACTTTTTATACTTATATCGCATTCTCATTTGCTATTACGTGCTAAGAAAATAATAAAAAATAACGTAATTAATTCATCGCGTTAAGTGGGTTAAGGAAACGCATTGACCATAATGTACGTGAAGCTGTATCTTGGCTGAATGCCATAAAGACTATATATAAAATTCGTACAAGCGGGATAAACAATGCGCTGACGCGTCTCAAATTCACCGAAGCGTAATCTTATCCCGCTTGAATTACATTCTCATCGCAAACAATGCAACTGATTTACATAAATTATTGATACTCGTCAATGTTAACTGTTTAAAGTCATTTCTCGAAAATTATGAATAAATTGTATGCATGCTTTTTTTGTGTTGTACCAGCGATAATCTCATTAATCGCCCGTTTTACATCATACTTGACCTATGTAACGATAAGATTAATGCGCATTTCGAACGATTTACAAATATTTTTCTTGCTTGTGCCTTTCTTCATTGCCACTCAATCTCCACCAAATTTTGATAACCACTTACTATTCCGTCCGAAGAATTCTTTCCTCGCATTCAGTGAATCATAGTCAGTAAATTGTTTGCCGCTGACAAGCAACTTGCATTTGCCGAATGATATTTTATTCATGAGACATTCGTATTTCTGCATGTTACTTTAACACACTTTTTATCTCTCTCATTTTTTTTATCTTTGTTACTATTTTTTATCTTTGTTTTTTCCTTTCTGTCCATCTATTGTCAGGAAATTAACAAATGCGTAAAAACATTTCGCAATATTTGCATGAAACATTATTTTAAATGTTTAAGAAGTTCTCGTGTAAACATATTATTACTTTATAAATCTGAATAAGAAAAGTAATAGTAGTCGCTGTTTTTTACAATATTAATTTTTTTCAATATTAATTAAATGTAAAAATTTTCAATATTAATTAAATTTTTACAATATCAATTTTTGTAATATTAATTAAATAACATATAAAATAATAGTCTTGAAAACATTTGATACTGTTTGTACTCGTTATTGATTAATATGTTTTCTATATGTAAATTATTTTTCAGGGACCAACGGAGGCGGAGAGAAAGATAGAGGAATTGACGAGGCAACTCGAAGAGGAAATGGAAAAACAGGAAGAGGAAGGAGAGTACTTTGGTAAGAAAAGATTGCTCGTGCTTCACTTTGAAAAGGCTTATCGGTGCACTTGGTGTTCCATATTTCTGAGCGATAACGAATGATCCTGACGCAAGAGTCATTTGGACTGGACTATTTTTCATTCCTCGGCGTTATCTCTATTTTTATTTCGTTTTTATGTTTCTCATGTATCCTGTGGTGACAAAAAAGAGATTAGCGGAACGTCATCATCGTACGCAGGTTCGCACGACACGATAATCAACACGAGCGAATCCATAATTTTAGATATTTCTGGGAAACGATAAAAAGAGCGCGGGCACACGTGACACTTTCGTGCCAATTCCCACGGTAACGAGTCCGCGTTAGACCGGTTTCGAAAAACGAAGTCGAGTTTCGGGTACTTTTTAGCGCGACACTTCGTTGGCATTCACTCTCACGCGCCACGTTAGCTTCCACCCACGTATCTCTTCGTATCTCTCCTATGTAAAGGGACGAATATACGCTATGCACGCGTATGCATAGGTGTATATATAAACGAATAGGCCGCTCCTCTCTCTTCCTCTCTTCAGTCACACACGACTCTTTAAAAGCATTAAAGTAACGCTCATACTAAGCCAATAGACGCGATGATGTTACTGACATAATCATTTTCCTGGCTTCCTCGTGTCGAGGACGATAATAAAGAGATAGACTCGACAATTATGCAACTTGCAGGATTATACTTAAATGAGAAAATTAAATTGTCTTTCATTTTGTTCTTTCTCTTCTAATACTTAATCACGTTAACTGCGTCATGACAAGAATATTCTATGATGAATCGATTTAGTGTACATCTATGCGATTTTTCGTCTGCTTTTCATTGTATCTTCTTGTGCTCCTTCAAACATTTAATATTTATATTTAAAGAGATGCTTTGTCTCGCTATTTTCTGAAATGACAAATGATGTAAAGAAAAGCGAAAAAGAATAACATACGACTTACTCTTGGAAAATCAATGTGGACGCAGCCTAACGCGCAATAAGGAACCGAGCGGACAGGAACCTCGGTCGAGTGAAGTAATGTCAGTCGAGAAGTGGCAGGCGTTTAGGCGAACGTAAATGTCGCCCTGGTCGCACTCGTACTTGCAGACGGACAGCGTTCTCCGTTGCATATGTCCTATACGTGCAACTAGTAATCTCGTTATAGATAGACCAGTCTGACTCGTTGGTCGTATTCTAGTTCGGCTAGAACTAGTCTAGCAAAATCAAATTGCGAAATTGAAACTATCAACGTGGTGCATGCGAATTATAGGAAGAGCATCCGTTAAGGGATGGCAGGATCGCGATTGCCCATTGAAAGATGTGAGTTTATTTGTTCACGTTCCTCCGGAATAATTCGAGTAGTTTTTGACAGCGATCGACCCCTGGTAAATGTGCATTCTTGCATCTGTCGACGCGTGTATTTTTAACCCTTCGATAAACCTCGAGTTCTTGAACTCTTGTGTCCCGCGCGACGAATGAGCTTCCAATTCCATAAAATAATATGCTGATTCTATAATGGAATTTATATTTTAAATGAAAATGTTAGTCTAATTAGTCTGCGTTATCGCTATTTCAATATGAATTAACAATTTTTAATTTACAAATTTGTAGTTTATTATCTATGAAGATACATATGTTAGATACGTATTGTATGTTAAAACGGAAGAATTAATCGTTGAATTATTTCGCACGATGTAGCATAATGACGCATGAAAATTTCACATGAAATATCTTTTGATGATAGGTATCTGTCACACATGCGGTGAGAAAGTGACCGGCGCCGGACAAGCTTGTCAAGCAATGGGCAATCTCTATCATACCAATTGCTTCATATGCTGTTCCTGCGGAAGGGCGCTACGCGGCAAAGCTTTCTACAACGTTCACGGGAGGGTTTATTGCGAGGAGGATTACCTGGTATGTGAGTCGATTCAAATGCCAATGATCGAAATAATCGTTCATTTAGCTAAAAATCATTGTGTATTCGCAGTATTCTGGTTTCCAACAGACGGCCGAGAAATGTGCGATTTGTGGTCATCTCATTATGGAAATGGTAAGCGACGAGACTCAATCGTTATCATGTATAAGAACCTCATTGTAAATTCAATAACGTTGTCTTTTGTTTTCCACAGATATTGCAAGCTATGGGCAAGTCATATCATCCGGGTTGCTTCAGGTGTTGCGTTTGCAATGAATGTCTTGATGGCGTTCCCTTCACGGTCGACGTCGACAATAAGATCTACTGCGTAAATGATTATCATAGAATGTTCGCGCCTAAGTGCGCGTCTTGTGGAAAAGGAATCACGCCAGTCGAGGTATGCGCGCTCAAAATTAACTCACTTATTATATCATCAAAATGTAAGAGGAAATTCTTATCTCTTAGCAATATCAAATCATTTAATTAGATTATTGTGTTCTAACGATAATTAGATTATTGTGTTCTAACGATAATTAGAATGAATATAAAATTCTGATACATATATTCCACTATTGTATTTACGAGAAAAAAATGTTGACGCATCGACATACCTCAGTTTTACCAATATTAATTACAGTCAAATAAATTATATTCTTTTCTGTGTTTGTTTAGGGAACCGAGGAAACTGTCAGGGTAGTTTCCATGGACAAAGACTTCCACGTGGATTGTTATGTTTGCGAGGATTGTGGTATGCAGTTGACCGACGAGCCGGATAAACGGTGCTACCCACTCGATGGCAGGCTCATGTGTCGTGCGTGTCACATCCAACGCATATCGCACACGCAACCGAGGGCACCACAACCGGTGTCGGCTAGTTATCAATTTATGGGCTAAATTAGATCGGTGCTTGAGCTTCTGTCGAAGTTTTCCGAACTGCGCACATAACGATCATCCGATAATGAAGTCTGTGAAAATCAATCAAATAAAATATACATCGTGTAATAGAATAGAACACTTACGATTGCGCGCGCGAAATTTAATCAAGGTATATACGAGTCAGACTTTGCGAATGATGCATTCATGTAGGCAGAAATTTACATTTTACAAAAGATTTTCAATATAATAGTTGTCATTTCTCATCTATTATACTATATGCTAATAATGTTTGCTATCTCTCAAAATGCAAATTATCGAATCAATACATTAATACATCTCAATAATATATAGTAGAAAAATAATAATTGCAATGTGTCGCATGCTAAATGTATTTTTAGAATATCGAAAACTTGTGCAATTTTAATTATTTCGATTTTTAGACGAAATGTCATTTTAATATAACTCTAAGACTGGAGATTTGAAAAAAACCGAAATCATTACACTGCCTTTTGGGATCATTTTAATTGATGAATAGTTATGTAACGTATATGCGAGTACAAGAACATTTCTTTTTAATTCAAAAAAGGACCGATAGTCTAGATAAGTGGTATATTTAATATATGCAATCTTATTTATTTAGTCAGAGTGTTTGCTGCAAACACAATAGTCTCATTAGGATGAATGAGTTGCGCAGGCAACTGTGATATAATAGCATAATAATTATCTGTTAAACAACAATTCCATACTTTTTAGAGCACATGTATATATTTATCATGTTTTATCATATCATAATGCGAATTTATGATGGACTGGGAAGATTTTTCTGCGAATTTTCTTAGATCAAGTTTCAATACGTACTTCATAAAATATTCATTAATATTTATTAGGATAAATATATCATCTCACTGCGAAGACTCGTGTAAAGTTGATCGCTATATGACAAGGATGTACTATAAACTTCGGTTATAATGCGTTTTTAATATTTTCGCGATAAACAATGGAAGCTAGAAAATAATTATGAAAAATATGTAGGCGTGCTACATCAATAAGCGACAATATTATGTAATAGTGAAAGACGCACAACTCGAGCTGCCAAATAACTATCGTTACTCTTCAAGATTAATAAAAGTAATTATTTCGTGTTACACTTAATAATAAATTAAGTGTAATATAGAAGTGTTATTTAGTAGTAATTAAATAATTAAGTTCGCGCGAATTGTAGATAAAAATGTAATCTTATTTAAATCACATACACAATATGTATAAATGAATCAATCCTTCAATAAAGACAAACTACTAAAAATGTATTTATTTCCTTCAGGGTGACACGCACATAGTTGCATTCAAAAAATCTAATATATTTTTTATGAAAATGTTTGCTTTTATTTAAAGTATAATCAAAATTGTTTCTTAAAAAAGCTTTTTCCTTCTATATAAAAGATGTATTATAATATCTTTTTCGTGAGATTATCGCTAAATATTCTTATAAGATATTGTCATATTTCTTGATATAATTAAAACTTTGTTATACGTGAACAATGGTTATTATTGCACATGGAGTAAAAAATAGATTGGATAAATTATTAAGAAACAACTTAACATACAGGAAATAATTTATCGTGACACAATTACATATTTATAAGAAGTACATATCGATATCGCGCGCGATAATTAATTCCCAAGCTATTGCCCGACCAAATTCGTAAATCCGACATAGTGCGGATAAAATATTTATGGTTTTGGCGGTTCCGTATGTCGGTCCGTTTTACACTCTGCCTTGAATTTTGTCTTGTGTTCTGCTGCACATTTGTTTGACTGTACTGGCTACAACACGATTAAAAACAATTACGGAGAGAAATCTCCCATCTTTAATAGAAAAACGACATCTATAATATATTAATCACGCGACAAGAATACTTCGCACAGGACAAAAGCAACAGAGATCAGCACAATATATTTGAATTTAATCGGTAACCTACTCATAATCTTGCGCGCAGGCTGCACCACGTGTGCGTGTAAAAAGAAAACAGACAAGACGGATATTTCAAATATAGACACAGAGGTGATTATATGTTAAATATATAGTTTATTTTTTCACTCTCAGCAGATGACATTGCACTTCGGGTACATTACTCACCTCTGCTGATTGACGTTTAAAGAATGATGGTGCTTTTCCGTAGCCTAATTTATTGAGATGTCTAATGGCCATTGTTGTTCCTCCTATGTTTTAATATTAATATTTAAAATAAAGCACATATATAAACAAGAATGTCTATATAACAAAATACTCAAACTATAAACACCTACCAACAGTAACAGTGTATCTCAGTGGAGTAAATATCTTATAAAGTGCATAAGTAATAGCCCAATTACCCGCACTAGAATTACGTACTAAATCTACATATTTTTCACTAAAATTCATGTATTCCAACATCTGTGCTATATCCACACCGCTAGAAATATACAAGAAAAATCTCACATATAATTAGCTATCAAAGTCCAAGGACATATATATATATATATATATATATATATATATATATATGTATATCAATTGTATTTATACATACTTCCTAATAGCAATGTAGAATATAGCTACCCATCCTATAGAAGTAATTATGTGAACAGGGATTAATATATGCCAATAATCTTTGGTCATTTGTTTCATTTTTTGAAATACTGATACTTTCTGTTCCGCCTGAGATTTTTGGCAGTCATCCTTGGAACTTTGCTTACCATCCGAATAATATACTAAAGCCAAACTATTTTTATTCACGTCTTGCCTCAATGATTTTTGATACGCGAGTACACTATTTACGAGGCCTAAAGAATTACATGACACAGTCCTGCAACGATGATGCCTTTCTGTAAAATGAAATTAAAAATTAATGCACTCGTTGACGTTCGACAACAACTGAGCTTACCAGGAAATGTTGACTTCCAACGTGTTGTATTGACATGACACGTGTAACATGTGGACAGTGGGAGATATTTCGTTAAAAACGAAATATTGCCTGATTCGAAGCTATACCTCAGTCCACGAGACAAGATTATATCCATTTTCGAAAAACACCGCTTCTATTCCTAACCAACAATCATAAAATTCTCATGACGCAATTTGTCACGTGCATAAAAAAGGTTTGCGTATGAAATACTTACGAAGAAGTTTTTCAGTCGTTACTACTTCAATCTATGATGTCGGTCTGTGAAATATTCATATAAATATAGCGCCAAAAACATACCTTGACATATTATGCATTGATCTCAGATATTGCAAACGAATAAAACCTCAAGCCTCAAGTAGTGACATCTGTAGTTTGAAGTATTAACGAAAAACTAATTAAATGCCTCTATTTAAATGACGATAAACACGTCGCACATGAATTTTCTGTGAACATCAAAAACGTGAACATGAACTACAAAGCTAATGTCCACGAATGTTTTCAGAGAATAACATATAATATGCACAATTTCTGGTTTTGTTCTGTGCTATATTTGCACGAAATACCAGTGCTGTTTAGCAAGGTGCTGTATATAAATAATAGACTTATGTATATAAATTAATAGTAAATAAATTATTCAATCACGAAAGATACTGTAATCTTTCAATGTAATGATTGATGAATTCAAAGATGAAATAAATATTTTTCTATATATTTATTGTCATATTTATATATTTTTATTTACGAAACATAAAATGCCTGCTGTGGGATAAAAACATTTTTAGCTGTATTTCTATAAATCTTCTTAATTAGCAGTAAACTGATCATTGATCTTTATTAATTATCATTTTATTATTTTTTTAATTATTTAAAAATTTAATTATTAATACATGTATAGAATTTGTTAAATTAATCACTAATTCTTCTGAAGTTTTTATAATTAAAATTCGAAAAATATAGATGTTGCAAAATATTTTAAATGTCTCTTCCTTTATATAAAATATAAAGAATTCATGTTCCATTCTAATATAGCCAACATTTATATATTTTTATTATAATTTTCATACTAGCATAATATTTTTAAACTTAATATTTTATATAACATAATGTAGTAAGTTATAAAATTTAATATAATTACAAAATAATATTACGAGGATCGTTTGATAAGTTTGGTAAAAAATAAAACATGTTATTTTTGAAAAAATTTATGTAATTTCTTAATATAGTCTCCAGGTCTATACACTTAGTCCATCAAATTTCCAATTTTTTAATACCTTCGGAAAAGTAGGCTAATGAGGCGTCACCAAATGGATTGTGTCGCAATTTCACGAAAATTTACCAAACTTATCAAACGATCCACGTATTATTAATAAATAGATTGTATGCACACTCTTTTAATTTCTACTTATTTCCAATCACTATGCATTTCTATCCAATATATTTCTTCGAGTTCTTGGATTATTATGATTTATTGTATTCCTTTGTGTTAAAATCATAAAGATTACTATCATTTGTCATACTTATTCCTTCCTATAAAGTCCATCGAAATATTTTCTATAGACATTTGTTCTCTCGGGTATAGATATTCAAATCACTCAGAGAGAAAAGAAAGAGAGAGAAAGAGACAGAAAGAGAAAGTTTAAGATATTTAAATCACTGTAGTTGCCTTTTTTCTATTTTCTTAATTATTGTTTCTTTTTTTTTCATTTTATACAAAAATATTAATATAATTAATATAACATATATATATATATATATATATATATATATATATATATATAATTTTGATATCTCTCTTAGTCTGACTCTTTCCCTGTCCGGCATGGGTAACCCTATCTAACTACGACCGGCATTCATAATTCACTCTTATAGATTCAATCTTTAGGCTGATGGCAGAGAACTAGACGTGAGCGCTTACTCTGTCATAGTCGTGGACGTAAAGTAAGATTGTCACAATGGCCTTGTACGACATACGTTTTTCTCTGCCTTACTTTACGTCCACGACTACGACAGACATCTAGTTCTCTACCATCAGCCTAAAGATTATCTTAAGAAAATTAGAAAATACAACTATTTTACTGCACGGAATCTCAAGACGCGATCATACTTAAGATTATTTTAAATATAAAAATAGTCTATATGAATATCGGCGTACGTTTCCGCCAGTATAACTCTTAGGTTTATTAGAGTATTCAATCCTCCTCACCTACATTAAGGTGGAGATACGAGGAAGAAAAAATTTTTTAAATTTTATTTTTTTTTTCTTTTAATACAAGGTTTAATATAAAAGTGAATGTAAAATATACGTATAATATGAAATTTACTAAAAATTTTTATATAGTCCAGACAAGCCTGATTAGCGATGATTAATTACATTTATCATTAATAATCGATATGCGATAATAGAATTTAATAAGTTTTGTATAACGTAAATATATATAATCGTAATTAAAAGAGTCATTAATAAAATTATTGACCATTTCTTCGATTGTAGAAGAAAATATTTGCATTACTAGCGCATTTTGTGTAGATTATCAAAGGAAATATTCAAAATACAAAAAAAATAAAATAAGCTTCGATGTAAATCAACAATTAAATTACAAAATAAATCGCGATTTAAAATTCGCGATAAAACGCGACGAATAAATAAATCGATAATATTCAAAATATTCGATTGCGCATAATTTTTATAATATAATAATCGAAGCCATCAGATACGTGAGTGACATACCGATAATATTCGATAAAAAGAGAAGCGATTTTAAAAATGGAGAACGATTAACATCTTGTTTCTACATCAGATTTCGCAAAATCAATCTGCGAAGAAAAGTTAAGTGATCCATTGAACGTCGGGAACTTCACTGTAGGAGGGAACGAATCCTGGATCTTCCGGATTATTCTCGATAACAATGATTTCAGTAATATATCAACAACGAAACAATTATCCCTCGTCATTGTCTTCAATTTACGAAATTGATATGCACGTCAGAAAACATGTTCTTTCATTATTAAGAAATATATTTCTTTATTGAAAATTAAATGGATATAACGATTTTTTTATAAAAATGTGATTACAAACGATTATATTTATAAATAATAAAATACATGCATCATTGGAGTTTGTGTTAAATGTGCGAACACAATAATTTGGGGTACCATTCGCGCGCGCGAAACGAATCGAACCTGATATCAGCAAGATTTCAATAATTTCAATTCGAATAGTGTGCATAATAAAATAAATAAAATAATTTTAAATAATTAATTCTCTAGATTCTTATTCTTATAACGTTTAAACTAATTAAAGTTAAATAATTTTTTAAATAATAGCGTTTAAACTAATTAAAGTTAAATAATTTTTTTTCTTTTAATCAATATCTTACTGATATAGAGGTATCCATTCGATTTGTCTCGAAATTTTCAAGTATTCGCACATTTTATGTAACATTCATGTATAATTTCGCGTATATATAATATATGACATTAATAAAAATTATAAAAATATTTTGAATACGTAAATTTGTGTATGTATTTTATTATATATATGTATAAAATGGTATATCTAAAAACTAATATTTTAAAATGGCGATGGATGTCCAATACCTGCAAATAATTTCTTAAAAGAAACTAAAAACTAATATTAATATCCCCAGTACCTAGAAATAATTGCTGTTGCATAATTAATAATTAATAATAAAATATATTCGTTCGTAATCACTTTTATCAAACAGTTAATAAAAACTATTACAATATGATTTACTTATTTACTTATTACTTGAAAAATAAAAATTTATACACAACGCTATCCACATTTATTCTATTATTAAATCTTTCTGGCATTAGACAATAATAATACCAATCCTAATAATGATAGAACATTTTTAACGAAGAAAAGAAAAGATACATTTTTCTGATCTAAATATATATTATTTAAATTAATTCGACGTTAAAGAAGTCGTTGAATTACTACCGAAATCATTGCTTTCGGAAATTGCCAGGAAAACCTGGAATTAATTCCTTCAATCTTACAATAAAAATTCCCAATTTTCAACAAGGCATCGAACTAGACGTCGTGAATGGATTTCACAAGAACTGGTGAGAAATAATTCTCCATGATGAAAATCGTTTCGACTCCTCGGCAGTACAAGTCACGCAACTTTCATTAACGTTTATTTAACGGAAAGAACAATGATAATTCTTTTATTAAAACGACAATCTCGTCTAAGAATGTGAAAAAGGACGCGAGAAAAACACAGGTGTTTTCGCAACGGTAATTTATTAATTTATTTATGAATATTTTCCGATACGAAAAAAATATTCGTAAATACAAATATAACTGAAAAAACAAATTATTAAATTCATAATAATTAACTCGCGATTCTATAATATCGAAGGTGATCATTAAATTTTATGAAGCTAATATTTAATTGCTGACTTATCACATTAAATCTTCAGTCTCTTATTCGACATTTCTTTATATTAAATTAGCAATATTTAGGAATATTATCTGACGAGAGCGACAGTGATAAAATTTTTTTGTTGAAATGATAATCTTGTATAAAGACGCGAAGAGAAGGCGGAAAAAACACAGTATTTTCGCAATCATAATTTAATAATTTATTTTAAGAATATTCAGTTCCGCGCAATATGAAATTCATAAATAAATAAAGTTAACGGAAAGCATATCATTAAATTTATAATAATTGACTCGCGATTCTGTAGTACGAAGGTCCATCAAATTTTATAATGCTTATATTTGATCATTAATTTAGCACCGAATTTTTACATTTTATATAAAAATTTTCTGAATTTATTAATGACTCTTTGACATGAAAATACAAATAGTTACTCTTTTATGAATATTCCAAAAATATATACTACAAAAACAGACTACTTTAATTTAATGAATTACTATTGTTTAATTATTATGTTAATTACTATTATGTAATCATTATACGTAATTTTTCGTGTAATTTACATAAGAATTTACAATTTACAATCGTAAATACAATTTTATATAATATAATTATAGTCATAATTGTATTGTATTTTACAATTAAAATATCAAGAGAGTTAGATTATAATTAAAATACAATTATAACTATTTATAATTTACAATTTACAATTTACAAATTTATGATGCTATCAATATCAAATGATAACATTCCATTTATTCAAATATTTAATAACATTGATATAATAATTTGATATTGATACCATTAATATTTGGATTTAATATTATATTTGATTTAATACACATATATTTTTATGTTTTAAAATAAAATATAACATGTTAAGATTTCTTAAACGTTAATAATTATGTAATTTCTTTAATATTTCTGAAGATAATTTTGATAAATT